GGCTTGGATGACACCTTCGTGCGCAGAAACTCGCACAGCCTGCTGCTCTCCTCGTACGTGCACATGAGCGATCGCAATCACAATTGTGGAGCAACAACACCAAGGCGATGAAGGAGACGGTGTGCGTGTGTGTGTCTGTGGTGGGGGTGTGTGTGTGTGTGTTGGGGGTGTGGTGTATTTAGTGGCACCGAACCTTATTGGGATTGGTTAATTGGAACGGAAATCTAAAAGTAGAGATTGGTTGTGGTGACTGGCCAATGGGTAGATGTCTTGCCAAGGCACTTGGGGGTGGACGCTTGCACAGCATTTTTCATTGGCTGAAACGTAATCTAATTTTATGATCCAATGAGTGCGTGTTCTCAGTAATCAGTGTGAATAATTTTGCATGTTGTGGAGTAAAATCTAGGCGCATTCAAAAATGTTCACAATAGTTTCAAAATTCTGAGCAGTTGTTGCACACCGATTGTGTTAATTTTTAGTTCCTTTTTCGTCATTTTAACTTATTTAAACAAGCTTGGTGATCCTAAATTTGAATAGTTTGCAGTAATCCCATTGTTTTAAATGTAGAAGTTACTAACACGATTAAACTGACGTGTATCTTCATTTGTTATGAATGAATTCGCTGTCAGTCCGAACTCGCATTGTGTTAATTTGAATTTAAATAGGCAGATGTACAGCAAAGATTCGTGACCTTGTTACCTGTTAGAGGTCAAAGGTAACAAGCTGTGACTCTGGATGGATTTGTGGACAAAAACTAAACCAGCAGATCTCACAAATGCCGAGATTTTGGAAATTATTCCCTAATTTTCTAATATTTGACCTCTTGAATTGGCATTAATTGTGACGCAGTCAAGTATTGGACCGTAATTAAATCGAGTTCAATGCAGAAAAGTAAATCAAACGTTAGTTTGGTCACATATTTAAACTATCATCAAACGCACTTTCTGAACTTTTGAAGGTGTGTCGTGTGTTTATGCGATGCATTTCGCAGAAATGCGAAAAACATATAAATAGCTTTCCTTGCGTTTTTTGGTGTATCATTTTCACGGTGTAATTAAAGCTATTTTTCACTCGACGTCCAGGTAGTACTTGTTCATTTTAACGCCCTTCTAGACAAAACAGCTTTGCATATCAACAGGTTCATTGTAGGCAACTGAAATGAGATAGGTTGCAGTTCGAATTCAAGGTATTTGTTATGCGTTAACATCGCGTGGAACAGTAAATCCAACTAATGTATAGATAATCGATAAACCGAATTTAACAGGAGGATCCATTTGTTCCCTAACTGGAGAAGGTTAGGCACATGTTCTTTTCTAGTGTTTTATTTTACTTTTCATGAAAACAAGTAAATACGATGTTGACCCTAATTTCCACATCCCTACCTCTAGCAATTCTGGCTCTACTCATTGGTTGCCGATGTCTGGGTTTTATTATGAACGCCTGACACTTTTAAAAAACGCCAAAATTGAACAATCTTGGGTTTTTTGTATTGTTTAAAATCTGTAGCACCGCCCTACGCGGCACAATTAATATTTGCACTTTAAAATGAATGTTTAGTCTAGTCTGATAAGTGGACCTTATTAATGGTGCAGTTAAAAGCCCCACAAAATTAGGCCTGTCTACAGTGTAATGTCAAGATAAGTACAAGCCACTGTCTATCACCTTCTTATTTGGTGACGTCTGAGGCTTCAATATTTTGAAAATTGAACTGAGCAAGACACGTACAAATCCCGACCCCATGAGGAAGAAAGTTTGAAAAGCTCAGGATTTCAAAGTGTAACACGCCATTTAGTATACTAGAACACCAGAAAGACGTTACTTAAATTGCTTGGAAATGATCCAACCAACAATCAGTCAAGTTTCCAAACGGTCACATTTGAGATGTGGTAGAAATGTGCTCTACAAAACTGATATTTCCCTTGGTGTCAGAGAGCACCTGCGGAGAATTTTGTTTAGCGTGGCTTATTTTAATAAAGAGCTCGCTCGTTTGCTTGCGCTGTCTTAAAATATCGGCAGACATGTTGCACTTATGTCCAGAATTCACAAAGCCTCAATTCACGCAAACTCTTCTTCATGTGTTGGTAAACAATGTACATCTTTGACTAAAAGTTTCCTTTTTCCGGCGATTACCTTAAGGTTTTAATTTCTTGGAATGAATCCCAACGCTGTTAACACAACACACTTGCTTAATCACCCTGAAATAAAACGGTTCATAGCAGTCAAGATAAGTACCTGGTTATTTGTGTCCAGTCTAGATTGGTAATTGGGTCTTGTTAATGGCGAAATAGTCGCCTCTAAAGGCACAGATTTACGAGTTAATTATTATTTGCACCATAAAACCCAAGTGTGTCAACAGTGAGAACAAATATTGTCCTAGCGTTATCAAAATAGGCGACTTTTATAGGAAATCCCACTCCATAGTTCCGTATTTAAAAAAGAAATTTGTTATTCCTGAAATTCAATGGTCTTCAAGTTTCACGCTAAAACGAACAAATGTTTCTTTACAGTCGACATCCTGCCACAAATTTCAGGTTGCATGACTGACCATGTCTATTTTAATTGTATTAGGAGCATTGTGAATTTGTACCACCTATGCGTCACCGCCCTTTCACGCAGGGTTACCCAACGTTTCCTTAACCGGACACAGAAAATTACTTTTCTCAGTGATTTTAAATTTGGTGTAGCATTCATATATAATATAATACTCGAGATCGTTTTTAGTCCCCGCACACCATTTTGCAATTCATATTGACCGCCTTTATTTTATTGGCTTATTCCACTTTGAGCGGAGAATTCATCTTTATTGAATTCAAGGTCTTCCAAAGTATAAATAAACGGACTACGGTTCAGAAAACATGGGCTTGCGAGTCTTTGTTAGCTGACCTATTTTTAAATTGTAATTAATTGAAACAGAAAATGACCAATTCAACTTAAATCCAGTTTGGACCCACATGTAGCACTCTTATCCTGGCCAATCAGCAGTGGAAAAAAACCTCTTTCATATCCTTGAGCCGATTGTGTTTGTATGGCTAAAAACGATACCATTTCCTTCCAAATTGTTTCCACCAATCACATTCGCAGTTAGTTGTTACGGTATTAAGGGCGATTTAAAGAAAGCCAATAACATACTGACCACTAGACAAACATCTCTTGCAAATGAAGCAGAGGTCTCGAGGTCAAATAAATTAAGGGAGCCGAACATTGTAATTTCATTTAAGGTGAAAACTAGAATGAGTCTGGTCTGTATTTCATCACCGAAATAATATTCGGATTCTGGTAGTTCTAACTGTACTACCTTACAACTCGCCTAATTAACGATGGCAAATAAATTAAAGATATTTGGCACAACCGTCTATTCACCCTGTGCGCGGCCATGTTAACTTTTACGCCTGTAAGCCAAAGCCGCTACACAAAAATCGATATTCCAATATGTGGATGTCGGACATAAACACAAGCAGGGTGCCTGGTTAGCCTGGAGTGGAAATCGATCGTCGGCACGTAGGTACGTGACCGGATCTACCATGATAACAAGGCGACAATCAACTAAATACTCTCTTTTTTACTTTCCCAAGTAGGAACCTCAACTGTAAATCCACAAATCATCTACCTGCACACAGCCTAAACACATTCGTCATTTCCGGAAACTTCACACAAGTACACAAACGCTTCATATAAAATCAAGCCTTCTATTGTAGACGTTTCTTCGTGACTGCGAATCCGGCCTTCGTTATTGATTTGAATAGGGTGTTCTGACGATCAATTAAGTTTTCCCCTCTCTAGCCCATCGATACCACTTTGAAGCAGGCTTGCCTTCAACAGAATTTGACCTCTTCATTTGAATCTCTATTCATGTTCCTTAGCACGACTTACCCCCATGTCACGTGTGACAGGATTGATACTCAACGCAGAATCAATGTCAAAAGAAGACATCGCGATGCCATGTAAGTGTGGAAGTCTTGCAATAACATTCTGCTGCTGACGCTGTGGTTGCGAGCTTTAAATTAGCGTCTCAAAATTGTATTGTTGCACACCTTGCTATATTCTTAAGTTTTTAAGACACCCATATCTTCAGCTTGCCTGCTCTCGAGGTCCACGTTCGATGGAAAATTTGGGCTCTGCAAGCCTCAACAAGAGTCTAGATAGCCTCATAATCCCTGAATACGTTTTCACTTCCACTAAATTACTGTTTGGTAATCACTGAAGCGCTATTCCCACCAAGGAGTTAGAAAAGATATTTCCTTTTTGTATCTACCGACGTGATGGACCTCTTCATCTGGCTTGCTTACACTATTCAGCAACAAAATTGACGTTGCTTACAACTCCCAAAGTTTCTGCTTCTGTGGGCCAGAATGTGGTCAGTGTAGACGCTACCTTTGTGTGTTCATTCCTGTCACATGCGTTCCGACATTTGTGTAAACAAACGGCATTATTCGTTTCAAACCTACCCAAGTGTACGTAGAAATTCCATTTATGCGTGGTTAACGCACCAAGAACACAGAATATGGTAAACCACTTTCTTTTTCCATAAAAAGATTTGTTTCCACAATTGGGACCATTTAAAAGCACAGGATAAACGTGACAGAATAAGGAAATGAAATAATCGAATGCCAATGAGCTGACAACACATATTTTATGAACTCGTTTTAACGTACACAACACAGAGGGCTTGTCCAAATCAGAATCCCTTTTTGAGGTCTCACAGGGCTTTAACCATATTCATAATGAACGTTTTCACAAGATCAGCCCGTTGAGTTGCAACTTCAAGCACTTCTTCGTGGTTGGCGACTTCTTCACTTTCATTGTCCAGAGCCACGCGATTGGTCATAAGCGAGATAGCGAACACTTTTAGCCCCGCGTGCTTGGCTACGATAGTCTCCTGGGCTGTGCTCATTCCTTAAAAGCAGCATGTGTTAATTAACATGAAAAGTCAAGAAAGATACAAACCAGCACAGTCGCAGCCCCACAAACGTGCTGCACTTAGTTCAGCAGGCGTTTCGTAGGCTGGACCAGATCCGGCGTGGTAAATGCCCTCATGCAAAATATTCAGAATATCCATCTCTTTCCCGACACCCCAGGCCAGCTGTCTTAGACTCTTAGTATATGCATTAGCAAGTGTCGGAAACCTAACTCCAAACCTTGAAAACAAGGCAAGTAATATGTTTTTGTTTTCATACATACCTTTCATCGTTTAGACCAACTAGCGGATTATTTCCGCTAACGGCTGGAATGCAAATGTGATCTTTAATAATCACGAGATCTCCAACATTATATTTCGGATTTAAAATACCAGCCGCATTTGTAATAAACACATATTCAACACCCAAGAGTTTCATTACGCGTATTGGAAGAGTCACCTAAAATTTAGCATATCCTCTATTAGGTACCTTCGCCAGTGAATGTCCTTCATAGGGATGAAAACGTCCTTGCATCACCATTACGTACTTGTCACCAATGTTTCCAAATACAAGGTTTCCTGCATGTCCAGCAACTAAAAACTACGCAAGTTCTGTTAGTATTTTACCTGTACTCCGAGGAAATTCTTTAATTTCACTGTATTTTATAACAATGCGATCCTTTACTACTTCAGCAAGAGCGCCATGACCAGACCCACATATAATTGCGACCAACGGTGTTTTGTTTATTTTTGAACGAAGAAATTTGCACACGCTTTCGGCCTCTTCGTAGGAACACATTTCTTGTCTGCGCACTTCTAGGTTTTCGCCAAAGCCGTTGATTTACACCGCTACAAATGGTCCAAGGTTGTTTTACCAAAATAAAACAATGCTCTTGCTTATAATTCTTTATGCCTTATTCAGCAAGCAATATCTGCTGAAAATGTATTTTGAATAAAAAACATCACGAGAACAAAGTAAGTGTGAATAATTTAAATAACTTCACCTTTGCTGGAGTGGGTCAGAACTAATGAAGAAGACCTTTATGCAACTATGGCTCTACGATTTTTTGAGCGCATTTAGATTTTATTCATACTTATATCTTAAAGCGGCCTTTAATCTTCACCCGTTAAATTAAAGATTATTGAGTTATGCATTACACATTAGAATAACAACTATAATTTTTTCATATCGATAAAAAAATTATAAACGCTGTGTGCCACCCGAACAAAGTCTTTTGCTAATATTCATTATTAACCCATAAAAGCAGCAAAAATTTAGGTTTATTAATAATTTCGTATCCGTTTAGCTTCATTAATCCTCCAGGTATTCAAATTTCTTTTGTTTAGTACTGGACATGAAGGTTTATCTAACTCAATTCCTTGCTTGTTATCTGATAAACAGGCAGTATTATAACATTCTATCATTCGGGCACACCTATAATATCTACTGTATTTTGACAATTTTTTTTAAATCGATACTAGCTATCCTCACCACTAACCCAGCTGACAGTTTTTATTTTATTCGTAAAGAACCACCAAACGACCATTTAAGGTGAAAATAAGCTAAGTTGTGGCGCATAAACCAAACACACATCATCACTAACTTGATGTTCTTTGAGTATTCCTCGTACAAATTTTCAGCATTTTAACAAATGATTTATGGCCGCAAATTAGGCCTGCTGTTTACTTAATTCTGAATAGATAACATAGCAGCTGCTATTGTTGACTGCTTGTAATGTCGGGTATTCTATGTAAACATAAATTGTACACACAAAATGAGTACCTCTATCGGACCCCCATAATTTCTGTAAAGATCAAGTTGTTCAATTTGTTCAAGTTGAAAACAACTCACAGCTGGAAATCTATCTGCGACTTAAACTAAGCAAATTTTTAGTTGCTTCTCATCTTCTTAGTTGCTTATTGTACAAGCATATTTTTGAATCACGAACACGCAGCATCTAAACTTGTTGCACTACTTTAATCACATTTCTGGTTTCAACTCTAACAAAATAAATGAAAAAAAACGCGACTGTTGAAGCCACATTTCTTTATGGAAGGCAAGTAGAGCAAGTCTAAATATTATTTCACCTTCGATGCCCAAAAACAGGTCACAGTGTCTGAATTTGAAATGACCTTGAAATGAGTTAGGCTCCCTATTCTAAATTGAATGTCTGGTCGAAATTTTCCGTTTCATAAACAAATTTTCTTAAAATAAAAGCGACAACAAGGTACTGAAAAATTACAAGTAAGAGCTTGATTTTAACAATCCTGCATTTTTCATCAACATATAATCAGTAAATTTTGTTCTAGCGGAAATGTTAAACAGCAGAAATTTTATTTCTATCTTTCGACTTATTTTAAATCGTCTAATTTTTTTACGGACCGATCTGAGCCACTGTAATTTCAAAAAAAATATAGGCGATTTTTCATTATTCGACTTGTCGTCCAAGTCCACTTAATGTTAATTGTTCCCTAAAGTGTTAAATTATGCTGCTACTAATGCTTACCCTAACAGAATACTTTTATGGTATATTTAGTTGCAATTTTAATTGCTGTTTTTAAAAAAAACACCTGAAATTATTTACACGACTTGCCAATGCCGTTGCAGGCTGTAAATAATCCATAAATGTTTCACGCTTTTGATTTAAATACTGGGTTGCGCATTTAACAATAATTACTGCATTTGAAATATCAAACGCCTAACCGGAATTTGTCTATTAAACGACAAAATGATGTAAAACTGGGATTAAATACACGATTCGTATTAATATTCCACTCACCTTTCAGATAAGTAGAACATAATGGGCGGTTTTCGTGTCTACGTTAAGGTCATCATGCCGAAGAGAATTCTTACAAATTCCTCGTGTGTAACGCTATAAGGCAGCAGAGCCTGAACACTAATTAATAATCTCAAAACAACATGAAGCCTAAAATTTGCTAATTGGCCTCTAAAATTCTTAAAAATACCACTCACAAATGAGAAAACTTTAGAATAAATTTAGGACAAAGAAACCTGACAAATATAACTAGTTTTCTGCGCACATTTTGTGGTTTTATTGTCTCCGAAAACGCTAATAACATCATCAATGATTCTTAATAGTCTATTTTTTTCAGAGGATATCACTCAACCGGACGAAATGCTACTACACGCCTCAAAATAATATTTAAAGGATTCTCGGCAACTGAATGAGAACATACTAATTTTAAGTTTAGTCAAATTTGACCGGTGTTCAGTCACACCTATTCACGATTCACGGGAACTAGACGGGGCTTTTCGGAATTCCGGTTGGTAGTTCTAACTGCTGAATGTTTTTATGATTATTAATTTCTATATCTAATTTAGCCTGTCAACGAATACCGTTATTCAATTCCAAAAAGAAACACATTTACACCCAATTCGTGTCTAAGACAGGCTAAATTGTGGCATTTCACATAAAGAATATCACGCAATGTTCACCAAACACCATTTTAAAACCTCGTGATTCCTAAATTGGTTACAGGGCCGAACAGCGCTAGCTTTGGAATTCGCTCCAATATCATCCACCACTCGATCGACCTATGCCAGCTTAAAATCACCCACTTCTTATCACCACTTAATAACACACTTATGAAGAGAGCCTTCGTCGTCGCATGCCATGTGCACTCGTGCATCCCATTTCACCGATCATGCTTCGTCTAAATGATGTGGCACGCTACAAGGCCAGCTGAACTATGCCATCGACTACAAGGTCGTCCTCCTACACGTTTTGAGCCACATCCTTTTTGAGTTAAAAGCTATAAATTTCGATTAAGACGATTATGTGTGATACCTTAAAGCCCAACTAACAATCGACCTGGTCATCATCATCATCATCATCAATAGGTCAACGAGCCCAGCACTGGTCAGGTTTAGGTAAGAACTTTCCAGAAGGGAGTGCAACATTTACTCAGCGGTCTCGACACTCTTTGTTTAACTGAATTAGAACCTTCGAAGCACTATTTAAATTATCCACTCCAGATTGTCATTGCTGTTCTTCGATTTGAGCGTCTGTCTGCTAGCGTTTAAGCTGCCCTAAATTCACAGGGAATTTTTAAACCAATTTAGACATGTGAAATCAGCAACACGTGCTCCTGATATCTCCTGGAAAACTTTCCATTTTTTTGTTTTCACGTGGAAAAAAACCCATCGAAAATGCACATTAAAGCTCCGAATCCATTCTACAACTGACTCTAAACTCACGATGGCAAGCGAAATTATTGTGTTACTCTACTACGGACACTATTGAATCTCCTTTGCAAAACCTAAAGGTTTCACTTGCACGCCAGAACACTGTCGCAGTCTTTGGGAAACTTCGTGTATGGACATGTTAAATCGCGTAAAACAGCCAATCAACGATGTCGCCTCGCGAGGGACATTCAAATACCTTGTTGTGAATTGTGTTTATTCACGCCCCTTAAACCGGTCGCTCGACATTCGACACAGGGTTCCCATTGTCGCAGCAACTCCCTTCTCATTCGCACGGATATTTATCTTGGACTATCCTCACACCTAGGTGCCGATGTTAGCGCATGTATGACTCACACATCCGCGGTATAAATACACACGCGCAAACCCCACACACGACACAACGACACCAATGTGGTGGATCTCTGAAGTAAACGGTTGTGTCCACGTCCCCTCCGATCTTTTTCTTCATCGCGGGTATCGGGCAAGCGTAATCGGGCCAGGGTTAATTCCGTGGCCCCGGCGTGGTTCAAGGTCACATGCTGGAGGTCACAAAAACCCGTTCGGACCAATCACCGATGTCGTCATTAGTTGGCTTGAGGAACTAATCGTAACGATTTGAATTAAATTTTATTCATCACATCGTCACCACTTCTCTTGAATGACGAACATCTCTTCCAATGCGTCTGCCAACGTATGCTACTATGTTTCGAAGCTCATGTCAAGGTTGTAGGATCGGAGTATGGAAGATGTGGGATAGCATTCGTGGGGGCAGAATTTGAGTCAATTATCGACCACTTAAATTTTGTCCTCAGCATACAACTGAGGCATACATGAAGGAGACTTAACTAAAGCACACACACACACACCCCTGTTTTTCAAACAGAGAGTGATGTTACCTGGCGCCTTTGTGTGTAAATACTTCTGGTCAATGCTTCTATTCGTAATTTCAAATACGCGGAAATTGGATCAACATAGGTTACGTTCAAACAACGTCTGGAGACAAGTTCATGCTAATCTCGACTCCAACTAAGTGTGCGAGAGCGTGATCATCGATTGACAACAGCAACCAATGAATAATAAGTGTGAGTCATTGACTCTGAATCAACCTGTCCCCTAACGACCCACCACAGATTCTTGGGTGTTATCCACCAATTTTGGACTAAGCTGCACTTTGTACTAATGACTATCAACACACCAGCATCAGAAATTACGCAACATGACAAAATCAAATCTATTGTTACTGTGCATGAGCACGAGGCCTTAGGAACGACTTGAACCCCGCCGGAATTGCCGAGGTTTCTATGTGGATTTAGTGCAGAGGTGTGATGACATTTAAAGGGGTTGATGTTTGGCCAATTTCCTTGGCAGACTTCTGACAAATTGCAGCATAAATTAACGCACAAGGTTACATTGCATCTACCACCTTTCCTTCACACGTCTGTGACACATATGTTAATTGGTTTTAGGTTGAACATTCTTAATTGCGACTCGGGTTGATCCGACAAAGAAGTCACCGACTTCTGATAGGTGTAACTTTGCGGGTCCTGTTTGCAAACGATGATTATCTGTTGATGAATTAACCGATAAGACAGTCGGATTGTATTCATCCCTATTTTCGCTCACAGCAGAGGACTTTGTAAATGACAGCAGCGACTTAGGCTCTGGCAGACAGAGTCGCCGGAAAAGAACAGCAATGAAGATCCAAAGCGTGATTACGCGCACCTGTTATCTGCAGAGAGACAAACTGAACAGTGTTCTAACGGAAGTGAGTGTAGTAAAACAAGGTAAACAAATGTAACAACCATCAACCGTCCATTGCATTATTTGGCCAACTTATATCCCGTATTCGTGTAACTTGCTTCCTAGATTCCAAAAAAGCATTTAGCGTTAAGAATCATGGCTTCGTATCAGATCAAATTAGCTGAGTTGTTTCATGCTAAATGCGGCAACAAATGCTGCTCAGTTTAATAAATCTGACCAAGAATACCCGCTGACACGCCTAGTTTATCTCCAAAGCGATGTGACATCCTGTTGAGTCGCAACTGAAAGCAAAAGTGGGTGATTGTGCAATACTGATTTACCCAAGTGAGCACCTGTGGCTTGTGAAATTGAGACGTGCTCCAAAACGCCTTATTTTGACCTAGCAAGCAAAAAATTGAGCACCAAATGGTGGTTTCAGTCACGCCACCATGTGAGTACACGACGCGCGCTGGGGAACATCCGTACCAAGGCGCAGGTAGGGCGCCATGTTTCCAAAATGAGGCCACTTATCGAGTGAAGGGTACTCCCTGTGGGGTCGTTAAACCTGGTCATGCGCGTGAAACTTAATCCCACATTCGTGTTGTTTAAATGCGCTGTAAATACATTCACCGGGTTAATTGCTAGTGCTACATAATTGGCCATTTTGTATTTGAATAGGAAAGAATGGGTTAAAAGTGGCAATGTAGGTGAACCGGTCAGTCTCTGATGAGTAAGTTAGCATCCTCAGGACTCTATGCTTTTCATTAAATAGACAACTTTATATTTTCCGACTTTTTTTGCTCATACACACCAACGCGTGCACTCAAATCGGCCGCTCTCATCCCATTGGCTCACTTGTCTTTAAATGTAATCCACAGCATCAAAGAGTGATTGAGACAAGACAAGCTGGCTAGGGAATTGGTGGCTTGTGTCGAGCAGGAAATTGACCTTGTTTGTGGCCACTAACGAATCGTAATTATCTCGTATTGCAAGGAGGGGCTCGTTAGGTGTCACTGTTGGTCCAAAGAAGCAATGACTAATGGGGAAGAGAGCGTCAATCGCCATGTTCACGTCTGCGCATTACAGAGACAAAAAAACCGCACATCTTCGGAAACACCGTTTTACTTAGAGACACCAGTGGGTTAAAACAGGCGGAACGTCAGAGGAAAGTCTTGGAAGGCAGAACACTGTGGATGGCTACAGCATCTCGGAGACGGATGCCTTGTCCATGTCGTCGGCGAAGGAGTCTACTGAGCTTCTGCTTTGCATCATGGCAGTCATTTTGACGGAATGACGCTGCATTAAGAAGACAAGTAGTTAGAGACATGTCTACCGACACCTAGCCAAGACAAGACATGCAAGGTGGCAGGATGTGCATCCGGTGATTCATTCACCAACTTTGAATTTTTCCTTTTTGCTTAAATGAGTTGATTTTAGGGTAAAATAATTCTCGAGTGGAGTTCTGATAGCTGACAAGTTGGGAAAGTTTTCTACATGTTTAAATATCTGGACAATGTGGTCGGTGAGTCAGAACACACCAATCCCAAGCAGGACTTGGTGTAGACAATTTCTGACAAACCCTATAACACTAGCTGGTAACTTTCCTGGAATTAAACATCGATTTCTTCGTGTGACAATCTACCGTCAGCCAATCAGAACAAAGATGAACGATCAATTTGGTTCTTAGCTACGAGTTGATTGGGAGCCTGCATTCCACTTCTCTCCTCTGATATTTCATGCTTTTTCACCATTTCTCCAAGTAATTTGCCTGGGAACACTTTCAATATCAACAATATTGAAAGATGATCTCAATTTGCTTGTCAAATTTTGATTGGTCATTAAGCTTAAAGGACACCGGTTTGAAATCTAAACCGATGCTGATAGGTCTACATTAAAAAAATGCTGAAATGGTAGCAGTGAGGGCTATTTTGTTGCTTTAAAAACCAGAACGTCTAAATTTAAAACGGTGGATTCACGCCACGGACAACAGAAGGGCATTCTCCACCAACTTACCGACGTGATGGTCTCAGGCGTTGACTGGGGCGCACAGCACGAGGGCATCTTGGAGTAGAGCCAAACCGCCTGCCAGGCCAGAAGTGATTGGCTCACAGGGTGCTTGGAGTTCATGCCTGAGAGGGAGAAAGTTGAAAATGGATCACGCTTATAGCCAGCTACCGTAAATGTGCACACAACCCCGCTAGGAATTTTTGGGGTCAATTCAAAGTCTTCTGCTAGATAAGGAGAAATCGATTAACCGATATTGACTAAATTAAGGTTCCGTTGTGGACCCTAGCATGTATTCTTGAACCACGGCGGGGCCACGGAATTAAGCCTGGCCCGATTACGCTTCCCTAATACCCGCGATGAAGAAAAAAGATCGGAGGGGATGTGGAAACAACCGTTTACTTCGGAGCTCAACCACGTTGATGTCTATGTATCGTGTGTATTTATACCTCAGATGCGCGAGCCATCATAGATGCGCTAACATCGAGACCTAGGTGTGAGGATAATCCAAGATAAATATACGTGCGAATGAGAAGGGAGGTGAGGATCAGCGCGGCTGGTGATATGCTGCGAAAAGGGGAACCCTGTGTCGGAGGTGGAGCGGCCGGTGTGAATAAGCAACAATTCCGAGTTGACTTTAACGGCTCCGGTTCGAAGATCCGGACGTGAATTTTG